AAGAGTTCAGGGTGAGAGTGCACCTCACATTGTTCTATGGGAGTCCAAAGTCCATGTGTATACTTGGGATGGGTAATGATCTGCTGCCCAAGGCTCAATAGATTACCTAGGCCTCCTCACTGACACCCAGATTCAGGGGGTCTTGATCAGTCCCATGCTGGATTCCCAGGCTGATGCCTGGGATTCAAGAGTTAACCTTTGTCTGGTCAGCTGTTTCTGGGGGTTAAACCAGCCCAGTCTTAATCCCTTTGATCATCAGGCCTCCCTCTCTGTTACTGGCTTTCTTGAGTTCAGCTCAGTACTTAACCAAGGGAGTCTGCCTCTTCTTCGATCAGCCACTAAATGAAGTTTCTGTTTCCCAGACTCTCTGGCCATAGGATTGTAGGCTGGCACTCCCCAGATCTATGTCTAAAATCCATTTATGAGAGAGTACATGCCATGTTTCTCTTTTTGTGACTGGGTTACCTCACTCAGGATGGTTTCTTCTAGTGTCATTCATTTGCCTGCGAATCTCATGACTCCATTACTTTTTTCTGCTGAATAGTACTCCATTGTGTAGATGTACCACATTTTCTCTATCCACTCTTCGGTTGAGGGACATCTAAGTTGCTTCCAAGTTCTGGCTATTACAAATAAAGCTGCTATGAACATAGTGGAACAGACATCTTTGTTGTATGAATGGGCATCTTTTGGATATATGCCTAAGAGTGGAGTTGCTGGGTCTTGTGGTAGGTTTATTCCCATTATTCTGAGGAATCTCCATACTGATTTCCAAAGGGGCTGAACCAGTTGGCACTCCCACCAGCAATGGAGGAGTGTCCCCCTTTCACCACATCCTCTCCAGCATAAATTGTCATTGGTGTTTTTGATTCTAGCCATTCTGTCAGGAGTGAGATGGTATCTCAGAGTTGTTTTGATTTGCATTTCCTGGATGGCTAAGGATGTTGAGCACTTTCTCAAGTGCCTCTCAGCCATTTTACACTCCTCTATTGAAAACTCTCTATTTAGTTCTGCAGCCCACTTTTTAATTGGGTCCTTTGATGTTTTGGAGACTTGCTTCTTGAGTTCTTTGTAAATTTTGGAGATCAACCCTCTGTCAGATGTGGGATTAGTGAATATTTTTTCCCATTCTGTGGGCTGCCTTTTTGTCTTGCTGACTGTGTCCTTTGCCTTACAGAAGCTTCTCAGTTTCAGGAGGTCCCATTTATCGATTGTGGATCTCACTGTCTGTGCTAGTGGTGTTATGTTCAGGAAGCTGTCTCCTGTACCAATTCGTTCAAGGGTACCACCCACTTTCTCTTCTAAGAGATTCAGTGTGGCTGGATTTATGTTGAGGTCTTTGATCCATTTGGACATAAGTTTTGTGCATGGCGATAAACATGGATCGATCCATATTCTTCTACATGCCAGTCTCCAGTTATGCCAGCACCATTTGTTGAAGATGCTTTCTTTATTCCATTGTATATTTTTAGCTTCTTTGTCAAAGATCAGATGTTCGTACGTGTGTGGATTAATACCCGGGTTTTCAATTCGATTCCATTGGTCTACCTGTCTATTTTTGTGCCAATACCAAGCTGTTTTCAGGACTATAGCTCTGTAATAGAGCTTGAGGTCAGGGATAGTGATGCCTCCGGACGTTGCCTTGTTGAACAGGGTTGTTTTGGCTATCCTGGGTCTTTTGTTTTTCCGTACAAAATTGATTATTGTTCTTTCAAGGTCTGTGAAGAATTGTGCTGGGATTTTAATGGGGATTGCATTGAATCTGTAGATTGTTTTTGGCAGGATTGCCATTTTTACTACATTGATCCTACCTATCCAAGAGCATGGGAGATCTTTCCATTTTCTGAGGGCTTCTTTAATTTCTTTCTTTAAAGATTCAAAGTTCTTACGATACAGGTCTTTCACTTGTTTGGTTAGCATTACCCCTAGGTATTTTATGTTGTTTGTGGCAATTTTAAAGGGTGATATTTCTCTGATTTCTTTTTCAGCCCTTTTATCATCTGTATATAGTAGGGCTACTGATTTTCTTGAGTTGATCTTGTAGCCTGCCACTTTGCTGAAGGTGTTAATCAGCTGTAAGAGTTCCCTGGTAGAGTTCTTTGGGTCATTGATGTAAACTATCATATTGTCTGCAAACAGTGAAAGTTTGACCTCTTCCTTTCCAATTTGTATCCCCTTGATCCCCCTTTGTTGTCAAATGGCAATGGCTAGAACTTCAAGTACCATGTTGAAAAGGTATGGAGAGAGTGGACAGCCTTGTTTTGTTCCTGATTTTAGAGGAATTGGGTTGAGTTTCTGTCCATTTAGGTTGATGTTGGCTGTTGGTTTACTGTATATAGCTTTTATTATGTTTAAGTATGTTCCTGTTATCCCAGATCTCTCCAAGACCTTTATCATGAAGGGGTGTTGGATTTTGTCAAAGGCTTTTTCAGCATCTAGTGAGATGATCATGTGATTTTTGTTTTTCAGCTTGTTTATATGGTGGATTACGTTGATGGATTTTCGTATGTTGAACCATCCCTGCATCCCTGGGATGAAACCTACTTGATCGTGGTGAATGATTGTTTTGATGTGTTCTTGGATCCGATTTGCTAGTATTTTATTGAGTATTTTTGCATCAATGTTCATGAGGGATATTGGTCTGAAGTTCTCTTTCTTAGTTGTATCTTTGTGTGGCTTGGGGATCAAGGTTATTGAAGCCTCATAGAAAGAGTTTGGCAAAGACCCTTCTGCTTCTATTTTGTCGAACACTTTGAGAAGAATTGGTATAAGCTGTTCTTTGAATTTCTGGTAGAATTCTGCACTGAGGCCATCTGGACCTGGACTTTTTTTGGTTGGGAGACTTTTGATGACTGCTTCTATTTCCATAGGGGTTATAGGTCTATTTAAATTGCTTATCTGTTCTTGATTTAGTTTTGGCAAGTGATAGCTATCCAGGAAGTCATCCATTTCCTTTAAATTTTCGAATTTTGTGCAGTACAGGTTTTCAAAGTATGACCTAATGATTCTCTGGATTTCCTCAGAGTCTGTTGTTATTTCCCCCTTTTCATTTCTGAAATTACTGACTTTTAAATGAAGATGTGATAGGATTTACTGATGGAATGGATATAGAGGATGATGAAGATAGAAGACCTGGGAGGTAGATATGAAAAGAAATGAGAAGACCCTTTCTTTCAAGATGTCTATCAAATAATCTAAGGCACTAATTTTAAATAGAGAATACTTCAGTCTCTTACCATGCCATTTATGTATGGAACACACAATAATGAAAAGGTCAAGAGTATAGTGTCCATTAGGGCCCAAGCCATCTGGGAGGGATTTCTAAAGGAGATAAACTATGAATTGTGTCTTGAAGAAGGAGTGGGCTCTCACAGAGTTTGAGAGTTGGACAAACATATATATATATATATTTCAGACAGGAATAACATCATGAGTGAAAAATGCAAGGTAGAAATTAGATATGTAAGGAGGCAGTCAGAAAAAGATTTAGTTACCAAAATAATTGAGTGGGGAAAATGGGGCTGGATCGATAGTATAGGGACAGCTCATAAGAGGCTTTGCAACTGATGAAATATTTGTAGTGGTATGGTAGGCAGTAGACCACAAAGTAAGGAAGGAGGAAAATAATAAATGTAAGATAGTTAGCTCCATTTGATTAACATAATCTGAGCCAGAGTTTATGACACAGAAACCTGTGGCTGGAGACAGGTCCATGTAGCTCTGCATCACAGATATCCAAGATAGACATCTGAACATTTCATGGTATAAAACCTAAGATGCCATCTTTACAAGATCTATCATGTAAGCGATGTGTGGTGACACACACCATTGATCCCAGCATTTGGGAAGCAGAGGCAGGTGGAGCTCTGAATTTGAGGCCAGCTTGATCTACAAAGCAAGTTCTAGGACAGCTAGGGTTACATGGGGTTACACTGGGAAACCTGTCTGAGAGAGAGAGAAGAGAGAGAGAGAGAGAGACAGAGAGACAGAGACAGAGAACAAAATAAAAGGAAAAAGTTAAAAAGATCTAGCATGTAAGCATCAGACAGTTTCTTTTAAACATCTATTTAAATCCATATGGTTTGTTTGTTGTTGTTGTTGGTAGGGTTTTATATTTTGGGGTTATTTCATAGGAAGAAAGAGGTCAGTGTTTCTATCAAATGATAATTATTAAGCTGTATTGTTTACTGTTTATTTATAATTTCAATTACTGAACATTTGTTAGACATGGTGATATATATTGTATTTCTTTCTGGGTTAATTACTATTGGCCATGTATTTATGTATGATGTGAATGGGTGAGTCCGGTGGCGTGTATGGTATGACACATGGAAATTAGAGTACAACTTTTAGAAGTGGGTTTTTACTCTTACTGTGGGTTCAAGGATTGAGCTCAGATTGCCAGACTCCTGGGGAAAATACCTTGACTTGCTGAGCAGTCTTGTAAAACAGCCAAAAGGAGTAAGCAAAATGTTTCTCAATTTACTGAAGAGGAAACTGAAACACAGAGCATTGAAAACCTGTACAAGCTTAGATGGCTAATAAGTAACAAATAGGGTTACTCACTACCTAAGAACAAGGGCTTCCAATGATGCGGCAACCCTGGAAGAGTTCCTTATTCTCCTGGAAAATGTTAGTGGTTAACACAGTGGCTTTGGAACTGGAACTCTTCTGGGTCTTTAGTCTCAACAATTTTTTGTTTGTTTTTCCAGACAGGGTTTCTCTGTATTGCTTTGGAGCCTGTCCTGGAACTTGCTCTGTAGACCAGGCTGGCCTTGAACTCACAGAGATACACACCTGCCTCTGCCTCCCGAGTGCTGGGATTAAAGGTGTGAACCACCAATGCCAGTAATCTCAACAAATTCTAATGCACTTTAATGTACATAAGAGCTTTCTCATAAACTGTCTTTCCTCTGAAGTATAGCTAGGAAAAGGGTCGATATCCCCATGTGCTTTCATGGGTATTCTCACTTAGATTTTGTTCTCCAATTATCTTTTAGGGACATTTGAAATCTATTGCCAAGCAGGCAGCCACAGAGAAGCAGGGATGAGGGCAGTTTACAATGTCTCCCAGTGTTCTGGTCGTCAAGACAGCCCACGACAACACTACCAAGCTTCAAGAGTCTACTACATCATGGCAGAAGAGGTGGAGTGGGATTATTGCCCTGATAGAAGCTGGGAACTGGAATGGCACAACACATCTGAGAAGGACAGGTAAGGTTTCAGAAAAGGAGAGATCACAGCTTTAGAAAATCATTTCAAAGGTGAAGATCCTGAAACTAAAAGTAGGAGGCATTTTTTTTATAACCACCCAATATGATGCCAATATGAATCTAGAATGGAGGGATCTTGAAGTCCAGCTTCATGTTTCTTCTACATTCATTAGCTATGGAACTGAAGAAAAGACCTCGCTACATTCTTTCTCTCTTAGCCTTGCTTCACTTCTAATTAGCTAAAACGTACCTAGAGTGGGATTTAAAGTTCATAGGGGTTTACTCAAGCAATGAACTAACTCAAGGTCATTTATTACGGTAGAGACCAAGCTGGGAAACAGAAAAAGTCCAAAACAGAGTACTTTAAATAGGTTACAATTTTATCTGCTATTTACATATGAACAGTCTAGGTCTGGCAGGTGAACCAAGCTGCCCTCATCTTGTACTTTCTGGGCCCCAGATGCTTATTGTAGTTGTTCCTATCCCCAACTTTCAAGTTAGGGTAAGCAGCAATGCCTGTAAGGATAGACCTGTAAGCTTACATATCAATTTTTTCTCGTGTTCTATTTCCTAAGCTTATTCACATGACTACATGTAACATCTGTGTGAGTAGCCATGTGTCCCAATAAAACCTAGGTGATTCTATTACTAAAGAGAGGGGGAGTGAATACAATCTGAGGTACAATGTATTACTAATAATAGTTTTCTCTAGTTTGTGGTGCTTTCAGTGTCTTTTGTCAGTTCTAGACCATTACAAATTTAGGTTGAAGTCTTCATGCAAACATTCTGTGGGAGTGAGAAAATGTGAAGTTTCTTCTGTTAGCCCTTATTTCTTCTACTATGCATAGCTGAAAAAAACATTACTGGAGAAGAAGGAAGGGTAGGAACAGTAGATTTAACTCTAAGTCCTGTCTGCCTTCTGGGTGACAGTCTTTCTGTACATATTCCTGTCAGTTCTGGGCTAGTGATTGTACCTCTGAGGCCAACCTATTTGGAATATTCACTGTTAAAATTAATGATAAACACTGTCAACTGTTAAGAATCCTATAATGAAAAAATATGTGTTCCCACTTTTGTTCTCCAACAGCAGCTACGGGTGTTCAACTGACACTTTTTGTCTTGTCCTTTTGTAAAAATAATTCCAAATCTAAGACTCTATTAAGGCTAGAACCAAAGCCACAGACTTTTGATTCTTAACTCAGTTAGGCATACTGCAGATATCTTTCTGGATGATGGAAAATAACTGTTGCAACTTCACAAACCTATTATTTTCAATCATGGTAATGCAATTTGACATTATAATGGATAGAGCTTACATTTTTTCATATTCGACATGAGAATAGTTCTAAATTAATTTTCCCATATCTGAAAATAACGGTTGAAGGTCAGGTGTTAATAACAGTCTTTGGATTCTTCTAGTTATGGTTATGTTTTCCTGAGCAACAAGGATGGGCTCCTGGGTTCCAGATATAAAAAAGCTGTATTCAGGGAATACACTGATGGTACTTTCAGGATTCCTCAGCCAAGGTCTGGACCAGAGGAACACTTGGGAATCTTGGGTAAGGGAATTCTACTTACATCCTAAGACAGCTATATATCAGGGAGGCTTGCTTTCCCAACCCTTATTCTCAGAAATTCCATGTAGACTATTAAAAGTATGGCCCTATTTCATAAAATGGACATGAATACAAGCACTGGAGAGAAATGTAGAAGCATGAATTCTGAAGTAGCATTGCCCAAAATGTTTCCATTTTCTATACCTATGAGTCATGGATCCTTTGAAGGTAATAAATTTTAAAAGACTCCAGAGGCAAGTGAATTTAGGAATTCTAGCAAGCAAAAACAAAAAATGGTACACAAAGCCACAATTACCCCCATACCTCAGTTTAATCAAGACTACATGCGATTTTGTATGATGGGTGTCTTTATTCTCATCCTAGACCAGACAGGACCCACTGGCCTCTGGAGAGAGTACAGCTATTCTATGTGCTATGTGTATGGCAATATTTCAGTCCTTACTATCAATGATTCTACAAAATTCAGAATGTCAAGAGCTCTTGGTTATTACGTAGAGGAAAATAGGATGATGAAAGTGGGGATAGTAGGAAGCATATTTCTGTTTTTGAGGTACCCCCATGCTGTGGGTAGCAATACCAATTTTAGGGCTTCTGAATCTGAAAATTGTCCTAGGCATATCTTCTAGTCTTGGGAAGATTAATTCCCAATTCTGTGGATCTTGCAGGTGTGCCTTGTTTTTTTGGTGTCTCCCATTTCACTCCCCTGCTAATGAAACTTGTACTTCTTTTGTATGTATCAGGTCCGCTTATCAGAGGAGAGGTTGGTGATATCTTAACTGTGGTGTTCAAGAATAATGCCAGTCGACCATATTCCATACATGCCCATGGAGTTCTAGAATCTAGTACTGGCTGGCCACAGGCTGCTGAGCCTGGTGAGTTGGAACACTTAGTAAAGGGACGAAGGCTTTCCAGTCCTACTTTAGTCTTCTGATTTATTGTTTTAAACACCTTATATTCTTGGTCTGGGAGTGTGGCTCAATGAAAAGTAGAGGGAATTAACTGGTGAATTGGAGTGGAAGGCATGTTTTTCTTTTGTATTTTGGGTAGTTCCTGTAGTTCAGTTAAAAATACCTTGTTTAGGACATGATTTACTTTGTAACTTTCCAAGTTCCTTAGAGTGTAAGTTGGGTTGTTTATGTGTACTAATATGTAACTTTTGATTACAGTAAAGAAATGCCAGACAGTCTACTTTAATAAATAAGAGGGGTTTGTTTGGCTCACAGTTCTACAAGTATAAGGTTTGAGAACCTCATTCAGCAATGACTTTGTATTTTGAGACTGTACAAACCATCACAGACAGAAAATGTGTGTGTGTGTGTGTGTGTGTGTGTGTGTATGTTTGTCTAGTCACCTCATAAAACCAGAAGACTCATTTTTCCAGTTTTCGACCCTAATAACGTCCTCAAAGCCATATCTCTAAATTAGCTGGATCAAATCTGTACCATTTTACTACTTTAAAATATGAAGTAAATTTGAACATATGAAGTGTTAGGTCATAGTCAAACCATACCTGAAACATCCCTTTATATCTCTCTTTCGGCTTAATGTGGATATCTATAGCTCTAAATGTGTCTATAGCATCTCCTCAGTTTGAATATATTTTAAAATTCATTTTAGGGTATTCTCTAGTTGTTTTTATAAGTTTTTCCTTTTAAAATTTATTTTTCATTATTTTTTCAAATTCTTGTTGTATGAATACATTACATATGTCACAGTATTTGGTAAAGATGATTTCATGTAAGTATATACTGTTGTACATTGAGCATATTTCCCCCATATTCCCTTACTCTCCTTTTTCTTATCCTTCCCTTCTCATTTATTCTCCAGTACAGTTTTACTTATACCTTCAGGACATACATACGCACACACACACACACACACACACACACACACACACACACACACACACACAAACGCATGATTTTCTGTATCTCTATACAGATCTAAGAATGATAAATGGATGAAGCCTATGATATTTGCATTTCTGGCTTAGTTTGATTAATATGATTGTCTCCAGTTTTATGTATTTTCCTACAAATGACACAAGCTTGCTCTTCTTTGTGGCAGAGAAGAATTCCTTATTTATTTAAATCAGGTTTTCCTTATCCAATACTTTCTTGGACACATAGGTTACTTCCATAACTTAGCTACTAAGAGTAATGCTGTGATAAAACTTAGGTCTGGAAGGATGCTTGTAATGGGTGGACTTGGAGTTGTTTCAGTAAATACCCAGGATTGTTTTTCTTGAAGAACCCCCATACTGATTTTCATAGTGACAAGTCTACTCTTTAACCAGAAGTGTGTAAGGGTTTCTTTCTTTTTCTTTTTCTATTTTCCCTCCTTCCCTCCTTCCCTCCTTCCCTCCCTCCCTCCCTTCCTTCCTTCTTTTCTTCTTTCCTTCCTGGTTTTCTTTTCAAGACAATATTTCTCTATGTAAAGGCCCTGACTGTGCTGGAGCATGCTCTGTAGACCAGACTGGCCTAGAAGTCACAGAGATCTTGCTGTCTCTGCCCTCCAGAGTGCTGGAATTAAAGGCATGCACCAAGACTGCCTGGTTCTTTTGTTCTTTTTCTGTTTTCTTAATGACTGCTTTTGGGACTATGATGAGAATCTCAATGTAGTTTTAATTTGTAGTTCTTTGATGACTAGTGAGTTTGAACAGTTTCTATTTGTTTATTAACTATATAAGACCTGTTAGTGCATTAATTGAATTATTTGATTTATCATGGTTTAGTTCTTTTATATTCTAGACATTAATCTTATCAGATATCCAACTAGTAGAGATCTTCTTCCATTCTGTACCTTGTCGTTCCACTCATTTAACTGTTTCCTTTCTGTTCAGTGCTTTCGAATCTCATGATGTCTTATTTGCCAATTGTTGGTATTATTTACTGAGCAACTGCAATCTAACTTTAGAAAGTCCTCCCATATACCTAATCCTTCAGATGTTTTCCATACTATTCGAACTAACAGTTTCAGCAGGCCAGGTTTAGGTCTTAGGTTAATTTGGTTGGTTTTTGTGCTGGGTGAGATACGATAGGGATATAATTTCATTCTTCTACATGTAGCTATTCAGTTTCACTAGCAACATTTTTGAGGAGATTTTTCTAAAATGTATGTTTTTGAAATTATTGCCAGGTATCTGGTCACTATGGCTACATGTGCTTCTCTATTCTGCTGATTTGTGTTTCTGCTTTGTGACAGCTCTATGCTGTTTTCTAACTCTGTCTGTGCAGTTTGGCATGCAACCAAGGATTATTCTTTTTGCTCAGGATTGCTTTGGCTATCCAAGGTATTTATTGTTGTAATTTGTGAGTGCACCTCAATGTGGATTTTAAGATTTTTTTAATTTTGTGAAGAACAGCATTGGAATTATATGGGGATTGCATTGAATCTGTAGATTGCCTTGAGTACTGTAGCCATTTTCACAATATTAATTTTTCCAGTCTGTAAGTGTGGGAGGCATTTTAATCTCTTAGTGGCTTGCTTTATTTCTTCCTTTAGTGTTATGAAGTTTTTAAGACAGATATTTTTTTACTTCTTTGGTTAGATGTATTCCAAAGTATTCATTCTGATTGTTCTTTTGAGAGCTTCACTCACTATGTAACTATGGCTGCCCTGGAACTTGCTGTGTAAGTCAAGTTGACTTTAAACTTTTAGAGATCCACCTATTTCTGCTTTTCCAGTGCTGGGAGGCAGGTGTGGTTCTAAGGCATCAGTAGCTGAGAGCTTACATCCTCATCTGCAAGTAGGAGGCAGAGGGAGAGAGGGAGGGAGGGAGAGAGAGAGGCAAAGAGAGAGACAGAGAGACAGAGACAGAGAGAGGAAAGAAAGGAGAGAGGGGAGAGGGAGATAGAGGGGAGTGAAAGGGTGAGAGGAGAGAGAGAGAGCGAGCGAGAGAGAGAGAGAGAGAGAGAGAGAGAGAGAGAGAGAGAGAGAGAGAGAGAGAGAGAGAGAGAGGAATGTGGTATAGACTTTTAAAACCTCAAAGCCAGTTCCAGATGACACACCTGCTCCAAGGAGGCCAGACCTCCCAATCTTCACAAACAGTTCTACCAGTTGGGGTCCAAATATTGAAATACTAGAGCCTATGGGGGCCATTCTCATTCAAAACACCACATCAAACACCCAGGTCCTAAGCCATGAGAAACTGTGTTTCTTTTTTAAGCTAGCCTATCTTCCTTCTGAGAAAAATATATTGTGGGATTCTATTTCTTGCTAACATCTCCAGCCTGTGGGCCATGGGTTGCACATACATGAATCCAAATTAATGACTAATTTTTGTCATGTGGAAGTTGCACTAATTTTCTAGTGGTGAACCAGGAAAATACTACAAATTGAGTGGTATGAACAACAGGCATTTTATTGTCTCAAATTGCTAGACTAGAGGTCTACATTAATGTACTGGGAAAGATTGCCTATGTTTTTTAATGTCTGTGAGGGAAGGCGTTTTTGAAGATCTCAGTCTTTTTGAATTATAGACAGCCATCTTTTCCTTGTTTTCTGCCTTAATTTTCCATTGTTGTATTAAACACCATGACCAAAAGCAACCTGGGAGTAAAAGGGTGTATTTCATCTTAGGTCTCTCAAGTCACAATCCCTCAGTGAGTAAATTCAGGGCAGGAATATAGAGACAGTAACTGATACAGGAATACTGTGTACTGACTTGCTCATTGTGGCTTGCTCACACATAGGACCACCTACCTACCTAGGGGGAAAAGTCTAAGATTGCTCAACTGTGGGCTCCTGAAAAATAAAATAAATGTTGCATATTTTCGTACTCCAAGAGGGAAGAACAAGGGCACAGTCACAATACCAAGCCACAATACAACACTGTAAACAGTTCAGTGCTTGATGTCTGGGACAGGATCAAAATCTTTTGGGCTCCACAGGCCTGTGCAGTTTCCCTTATCCATCTCTGTCTTTTGCAGCATAATCAGTTTGTCTCATGAGCTCAGGCCAGCTCCATGCCACAGTTGCTGCTGTCCTTAGTAGTCATCCTGTAGTACTGGTATTTCCAAAATTTTGGAGTCTCCTCTGCAACTAAGTATGAATCTTCACCAGTGGCCTCTACTGTCTTCTCTTCAGGGACTCCCATCCCTATGACATATTGCCAATCCTCAGCTGCTCTCCATTACCTCTTCAGATCTTCAAAACCAGTACTACCTGACTCTAGAGAACAGTACCAATTTTGGCTGTGTTGACCACCCTGGACCCCAGTTTGTATGTTTTAATCCAGGACGTTTCTCTTAAATGATGCTGGTCTTTTCTTAACAGAAGCTTATTTCTCAGCCCCAGGGAGCCAGCATCATTTGTGTCAGTATAGCAAAATTTTTACTTCAGTAGTGCTAGTCTCTTGTTAACCACATGACTCTTCAGCTCCAGCTGACCAGAGTCAAGGAATCTTAATACAAAACATCACACAACTAGCCCTGGGAGAGTCTTTGTTTCCTTCTGAAACTGCGCAAGCCAGTCTTTCATCATTTACATCTCTTTCAGCATTTTTTACCTTTCCAGCTCCCAAAGCTCATTAAGCTCTGAGCACTCAGTGGCTTTCCTAGATCAAAGTTCCAACGTCCTTCCACTCCTGAGACAGTGTGATCGGGTCTGCCACAAGTACACCTCATGAACCTGATACCAACTTCTGTTTTAGGTTTCTAAGGCCTTAATAAAGACCATGACCAAATAAACTTGAGGAGTACAGGCTTTATTTCAGCTTACAGTTCCACATCACATTCTATCATCAAAGGAAGTCAGGGCAGGAACTCAAGGTAGGAACCCAGAGGCAGGAGCTGAAGTAAAGACCATAAAAGAAGGCTGCTTACTGGCTTGCTCATCACTGCTTGCTTAGCCTGTTTTCTTATAGAACCCAGGACCACCTGCCCCAGGCCCGGTAAAATCCACAGTGAGCTGGGCCCTCCCTCATTAATCATTAAGAAAATTCCCTATATACTTGCCAATATCTGGTGGAAGCAGTTTCTCAACTTATGTTCTCCCTAGATAACTCGAGCTGGCATCAAGTTGACAAAAACAAACAAACAACCAGGATACTCTACCTTCGTGTCATTTTCTTTTTATGTGTGGCTCTACACCTAAAGTTCTCCTTTTTTTTAAGGATGCTGGATAATATTGGAGGCCTGCCTTACTAACCTCATTTAAAACTGATTTCCTCTTGTTTCTAATTTGGCCATGTTTCTAAAGGAGGTCAGATTCTGAGCTAATAGGGGCTAAGACTTCAATATATAATATTTTGAAAGGGACACATTTGAACCAAAAACAGATAGACGATTAATAAGTAGCAAAAAGGAAATGAGGAAATCAAGATAGTAAATGTTGGCAGAACTGTAAAATTCGTAATTATAAAGGAAACATGATTAGGTTGAAAGAAGCAGCAGTTTAGGGTTACAACAGAAGCAAGGATAGAATTAAGCATGGTATATAAGGGAAGAGGGATGACTAGAGGAGACGTTAAAGATTCAGATGGGAGGATAAATGAAAATCTGACAATACACAAGAAGAAATGGCATTGGGAACTCTCATTAAAGGCATAATCTCATGTCATAAAATGAGAACTTCCTCATCTGAGACTGGAGTGACGAGTGGATATCAATACAAATGTGTCACTAGATTTGGTAATGACAGTACAAGAGATGAGAGCCTTCACAATAGTATGTGAAGGCTCATTTTGTTTCTCACTTTAATTGAACTGAGGAGTTGGTGGGAATTTGTAAAATACTTATCTGGGTGTATCTGTGATGGCATTTCCAGAAAAATTAAGGCAAGAATACGTACTGTTTATGTACACAACGACATCCTATTCTGAGCAAAGAGCCGAATGTATAAGGCATTACCTCACTCTACTTCCTGACCACTATATTTGAAGCTGCTTGTTCTACAATTCCTTGTTACTCACTATGTACCAAAAACATGACTCATGGTAAATCTTTCTTTAAGGTGTTTATATTAGATATTTTGTCACAAGGACAAGAAAAGTTATTAATCTAGTTTGTATGAACAGAATTCTAGACCTAGGCTTCACAAATTCAAATTTCAGTCCTATGTGTGGCATTTGGACAGCTACTTTAACATCTGTCTGTGACCTTCTCTTCCTATCTGCAAAGGTTTCTTTTTGAAAATTCAGGATTTCAATTTGCTATATGTGCTATACAAGAATTTGGCAATGTCATTACTATTATTATGTAAAGTCTGAGTGAAAATTAGTTTTGGAGTGTGAGGTACAAAACAGGTGAGACCTGAAAGAATGTGGTAAACATTGGAGTCACCAAAGAGGACAGGATATGGAGCTACAAAATTAAATAGCACTTGGGACATAACCGAGACCACATAGATTTTTAAATGCTACAATAAGCAGGACCAAGCAGCTTTTATCAGCTTTGTTTAGCATCTGCTGGTCTAATACCAGAGGACATGGATTCCAAGATGATATATATTTTAGTAGTTTATAACTTTAGTGAACATGAAAATTACTTGAAGTTATTAATCATATGTGATCAGTGATATAATATTGTGCTTATTTATCGACGGTGAAGGCAAAGCCATGTTCTTGTGCATGTTGGGAAAAATTCTACCATTAAGCTAAAAAAACCAAGATCATTGAGATTTTTTATTTTTATTTTCGTTTTTCTGATAGCTGCTGCTGCTGAAAGTCTTTTATATTCTTATTTATATTTTTATATAATATTTAGTGAATTGTGCATTCAAAGTCTTGCTTATTTTTATTGGCTAGTTTGTTTTTGTTTTGTTAAATTGTTTATGTTGTTTCATAAAATAAATTAGCAAATTATTTAAATAAATATTTCTCTCAAAATGTATTTAAAAATACCAGAAAATGACAGAGAAAATTCTTAACATCATTAGACATGAGAGAACAACATATCAGAATTTCATTAGAATATCCTATTTCCTTCATTGAAGCAAAATTAAGAAAAAAGATAACTAGTTTTTATGAGAATATTGAGGACTTAGAATGTGCACAGTGATGTTTGATGATTCCACTGCTTTGCAAACCAGTTTGCCAATTCTTCCAATTGTTAAAAATTGCCATTACTGTATAGTTCAATAAGTCCATCCCAAGTTATATACCCAAGACAAATGAAAACATAACTTCATATAAAAGCTTATATGATAATTAATGGTGGCAATTTTATGGTGTTTTGAATTAAGCCAAAGGTCTCACTCATGCTAGGAAAGCACTTTATCACTGAGCTACAACTGTAGTCCTTAATGTCAGTGTCATTCATATTATGCTCAAAACAGAAATAACCAAATATCTGTCAATTGATGAGTAGATGAGTAAAATGTAATATATCCATAAAATGTCATATGCTTTGGCAATAAAAAAACAACTGTTTAAGTGGCAGCATGTGTAGACCATTACAATATTATAAGAATTAAATTAGTAAGAGAAAGACAATAAAATGATTCAATTTGTGTGAAATGTTCAGAATGAGATAGAAAACAAATTTGTAGTTGCATTGGAGTGATGGGTAGATTAAAGGATGACAAGAATATAGGAATTTGTTGATTGTAATGAATAGTTCTAAAATACATCATGGTAGTAGTTAGAAAACTATGTGAAATTCTATTATTTATGGGAGCAATATTTTATTTTTTCTGTTATTTTAAATATATTTATGAACTATATGATAATCATATATATGTATAAAAGTATCAAATGATGAAATTTGGATAGTTTGGTAATGAATGAATTGTATGGCTTGTAAACCATATCTCAATAAAGTTGCTATACAAGGTCAATATGAGAATAATTGGAAGTTGTTTAGAAAAGGCAAGGTTATGACAAGGATGATGCCTGGGAATCCAACATGGGACTGATCAAGACCCCCTGAATGTGGGTGTCAGTGAGGAGGCCTAGGTAATCTATTGAGCCTTGGGCAGTAGATCAGTATTCATCCCGAGTATACACATGGACTTTGGACTCCCATCCAACAATGAGAGATGCACTCTCACCCTGAACTCTTGGGGGAGTGTCTAGGCCCTGCCCTGGATGAAATGGCAATCTATGGACACCCCCATGGAGGGCCTCACCCTCCCTGGGGAAATGAGGGGATAATGGGGGAGTTGGGGGGAGGGCACAGGAGGAGGGGAGGGAAAGGGACCTGGAACTGACTTGTGAACCAACCATGTTTCTGATCTAAATTTAAACTTAAAAAAATTAATAATAAAAAAGAAAAGGCAAGGTTAGAGGCTGAGGGACTTCTTAGAGTTAGGAGTTAGTCACTTTTCTTATAGAGATGTGAACAGAAATCTATTCACCACAGATAGAGCAGTGACAATTGGTCAATCAAGCTACTCTATACAAATTTACCTTCATGAACTGGTGAGTTTATTGGAGTACTTAAAGCAGCAGTGATGGTTCAGGGGCTACTTAAAGGAACTTGGATAATAAAAAAAAATTGAAAACCTCACCCTGTAATAGGTGCTGACTCATCAAATTTGCATTAATGGAGCTTCCTGCACATTCCTCTTTTTTTTTTTAGCAGATTTTACAATCTCTAATGGCAACTACTTGTGAATCTTGAAAGTATTTGGAGTAAAGATATGAATCAATTGTTAAGAATAAATATTTATCTTCCAGAGGACATAAATTCAGTTCCAAAAAGGCACACCAGGCAGCTTAGAACTGTCTCTGGTTCCAGCTCCAAAGGATATCATGGTGCTTTCTTGTCTAAATGGCCATCAGCGTTATGTGGACATAGTCCCCATATACATGAATTTGAAATAAAATAAATCTTAAAAAACTAAACTATATCATAAGACTTGGTACTTCATTGGATGTTGAATAAATGAATGTTAAAGTGGCAAAGAAAACTAAAGTTTATGTCTTAGCAACTAGAAAATAGGAATGCTATTTCTAAACATCAGAGGCAAAATTGAAAAAATAAGATAATTTATAACAATTTTAGGTTGTATTTGGTCCTGAAGATAGAAGCTAGGGCTTCATACATACTAAGATGCTCTACTATTGAATTATAACCCCCAATAGAAAATTATTATTTTTATCTGCTATTAGGACAGTATTAAAATGATGCCTAATATTTAATTACAATTTTGGTGTGAGAATTTAGTAACAAAGTAGGTCTATCTTGAAGTACTTAAGATTTTTCAAGACATATATCATAATACGTGAATGAAATCTTCCATAGGGTATTGAAAGAAGGGAGGGAGATGAGAACAGAGTTTGTGGAAACAGTTTCATTAAGGAGGCAGCAGCAAGAAATCAAGATGAACACAGAACCCAAATGATAGATCATCATAGCTAGTGCAAACAGCAGCAGGATCACATTGCCACAGGATTAGGACTGAGCTTTTGTGCATGGAGAGGCTAGAAATGTAATACTGAGTAATTTTCAAGAAGGGAGAAAAATGTGACAAAAATAAAATGGTGCCTGGTATGAGAATGATGGAAAGGGATCTTAAGGGTGCTGAGACTCAGCCAATATAGCCTTTAGAAATTGATAGAAATGTTTTACTTGCTTCAATGAGACCTCCCTTTCTACCTTTCTTAGGTGAAGTACTTACTTACCAGTGGAACATTCCAGACAGAGCTGGTCCTGGACCCAGTGACTCTGCTTGTGTTTCCTGGATTTATTATTCGGCAGTGGATCCCATCAAGGTAAAGAAAAAATTGAGTATTTAAAGGAGGATCCCAGAAATGGGCAAACTACCTGGCAAAACCATGACAAAAGATGGAGTTCAAACAAACAAACAAACAAACAAAAACTAAAGCAACCGACCAACTAACCAATCAACTAACCAACCAACAATAACAACAACAAAAAACTCTGTAATACCCGGGATATAAGGAAATTTCCTCAAATGCTTCCCTTATTTTAATTGTCAGGAAGAAGAATGGATGTAGTGCATGACACCAGATGCTTGTCCTGAGGATTTTCCTTTTTTTTTTCTATTTTGGATCCTGTAAAGCAGTATGTTCTCATACCTTTTACAAATGGAGATAGTTGTCAGGAAATTAGGGGCCTAGTCGCAAATTTGGCACTAGAGTGACTTTGGAATAGCTATCATAAAGTCATACTGCCTCTGTTTCCTAATCTGGAAAATGAATTTTGTCTATCTAGTCAGTTAATAGTGACAAGCCATGGGAAATATATTGTGTCTACTCTGTTATGGGTATTTTTCTTAATGTTACGGATGATACAAATGTAAAGTGCATGATCCAATAGAGCAAAAGGGAAGTAGAGAAGCTATCAGAAGGGAAGCTACCTGTAATCTAGATTTTGAAATCTAAATGAGAGTATGCCATAGATAAGGAGTATGTTGGAAGGAAGGCACTGCCTAAAAAAGCATTAGGTTGATAGATGAATAGTTCAATCTAGCTAAAGCATAAGTTACACATCATCTCTCAACTATGTATTAAATGATTGGTAGAATGAATTTTGATATCAGAGTATCATACTTATGAATATAAGGCATTTATGATGAAATTCTAAGGGGCTTAGAGTATGCTGATATGTGACTCAACTCAACTGTCATCCAGGAATAACCTCATGTTTTTCTTCCTTCATCAGGATATGTATAGTGGTCTGGTGGGACCCTTAGTCATCTGTCGAAAGGGTATCTTGGGACCCCATGGAGGTCGGAATGATATGGACCGGGAATTTGCCTTGTTGTTTTTGATCTTTGATGAGAACCAGTCTTGGTATCTGGAAGAGAACGTTGCAACATATGGGCCCCAAGAGACAAACCATGTTAATCTACAGGATGAGACCTTCTTGGAGAGCAATAAAATGCATGGTCTGTAGAAAAGAAGCTACTCTTATTTCAAAGTAGTCCACCCTGTTTTCATAAGATGATCTGCTAGGTTCACCTCTATTATCTGGAAAAGATGAGAAACTTGGACAGTGGAATGGGAATGACTTAGAAAAAAACTTTCTTATTATTCTACACACATATTTGCAGAACAGATACATGGCCCAGACTAGATGAGGTGCCCAAAAAGAAGGAAGCTAACTCTTTAAAGTTATCATGATGGCACAAGCAAATTTTAACAATCTAGATAAAGGAACATGGACATTTATGACCCTCTATATACATAATTAGCCGCCTTGTAAGTACCCCTCTGTGTCAAAATTCTGAGTTTGTTTTCCTCTCAAAAGCACGATACTGAATCACTATTTTTAATTCTGGATCTGTTCTGCCCCAATATAGACAAATGAAGGACAACTTATCATTTTTACTATATGTAATGCAAAATTTAAATTTACATGGAGTAGTTGGAGAAGACAGCCACAGAAAATAGCACACTGAGCTTATGTTCCATACAATAAAAAACTTTTTGATTCTTGAGTGGAGCTGGGGTGGGAGAATTGTATCATCAAAGCCTCCCTTTGCTCTAGATATCTGGTAGCTTTGCACAAAAAAGAGAAAGTCACGAATAAGAGGGAGGGCTTAAGTGCAGTGGAATGTATGAAGTGATCTCTCCCTACCACTTCTTGCCCAAGACTTTTTTGATCTGAAAGTGAGGTGCAGCTTTTATAATGACTCTAATGGAACTCAAAAGTAGTATCCCATTGTCCTACAGATTTTATCTGTTTCCCCTTGATGGAAAGATGAGTGATTCACACTAGAACAGATGATTCACAACTTTACAAAGTGAACTTTCTTAGTTTCTGTCAAATCAAGGAAATAAAATGAGCTAGAACAAAGAGGAAACGAGGGCACGGTTAGGTCCTCCCAATTCAGGATTTGGCTAATGCTCACCTTCATCTACTCAGGTGCCCACTTTTCCAAACTTCAGATATCACTCTACCTAGGTAGCTAGATAGCAGATATTTTTGAACATATTCTGAGCACTAGTGCTATAAATACCAAGAAAAATAATGTTGCAGTCAGTCCAAGAGGACAAGTAAATAATATTTTAACTCCTCTTTTACATTTCTGAACAAAATGAGAAAAATAAATGGTTAAGATAAAATATGAGCCTTATTACTGAGAATGCTAATTGGAAAACTGAATTTGATTTTATAACTAAATATGATTACTGATACTTTCCATGCAATGAATAGGTTTTCAAATTGTCATTGACATCAGTGGACAAGAAAGTTTCTCTGCATTAAGACAGGCAGGATCTTACCAGAACCAATTAGAGAACCAATTTGCACCCTTTTCTATTATCAAAGAGATAAAATATCTAGAAGTGGATGAACTGAACAATTTTTGTTCATTTTTTTTACCAAATCCACAATTTGATGTTGGTAGACATCGAGAAATACTGTACCTGTTCCTTACATTATTTTCCTCTTGAAAAGTAGAGTAGAAATTACCTCTCATATATGAGAAAATGAGATGTGGGAGGAAATGATTTTGGGTAAGATCGTACCAATGGGAGTTAATGTAACAATGAATAGTTCAGTGTCTTTGCAGCATAGGATGTGACTTTGGAAGAGAATGTGTTAATTAAACAATGTATATTGCAGTCTGAGTTATCTGCTTGTGCAAATGTGCAAGAAAGCTATAGCACTGTAGTATATGAATTTATTTCCTGCTTATTAGTAACCTAAGACAAGTTGGTAACATAAGCTTTCACACCTTAAAAGATAAATAAACTTAGAAGACAGATTTTGGAGAGCTCTAATGAATCATGCTGAGGAGTACTGGAGGAGTTCAAAGGGGGAAGGTGATATAAGAAATTGAGGTTACATAGAGGAGCTTAGGAAATCAGAAAAGTTTTCTTAAGGAGGCAAAATTTTAAAGAGAAAAAATAAGGCAGTAAATATTGACAAGAGGGAAAGAAAAAATCCCACTCATTGGAATCAATGCCATTGTCAGTAGGAGGTGAATCTGGGAAAGTTGGTGTGGAAGTACATTTTAAATGAGTTTATTAGCTGAGCTACAGAGCCATGCACTTGTTCTTTGGGAAAGAGAGGAACCCTTAACTTTTTTTAACTTCAGAATTACATGGTTAGAATAGTTGCTTGGAAATAACTCTGATATTATTATTGTGGAAGATATTTTGAAGAGAGAGATGTAGCAAAATACTAGCCTATTACGATCATCAGAAATGATGAGAAATAGACATAGGGCAGTGGTTAAATATGAATAAAAGAAAAGATATGAGACATTTTCTTCTTTTACAGCTATCAATGGGAAACTCTACGCTAATCTCAGGGGTCTCACAGTATACCAAGGAGAACGGGTAGCCTGGTACATGCTAGCCATGGGCCAAGATACTGACATTCACACTGTACACTTCCATGCAGAGAGTTTTCTCTATCAGGTGAGCTGAAATATGGTTGACCCTCACAGGTAGTCACTTCTGTGCTTTAGCTTTTTTCTGATAAGTAAGAATGTCTCATTGAAAAGTCAAGTAGACAGAAGGAACCTGTGTCACTGTATCTGAGCCAAAGACTTTAGACTCGATGAGCAATGATTTGAGCAGCAAGGAATTTCAAATATTCTTAAAATCCCTGAAAGTCTTTAAAACATCGTTGCAAGAGTTTAAATTCAGGAGCTACATAGAACAATGTATGATTCTGGAAATGTTTTAATCATAGGAAAGAGCATGGAATTGGAGGCATCATTGTAGACAGAGATCTAGAACTATTTTGATCAGGTTCTTGCCAAGAAGGAGTAACTTAGCTGAATTAATTCACTTCTAAAGGAAACATGAAGATCCTTCTTAGAGGTCAGAACTTAATCCAGACTCTCCAGATTTTAGCTTATAGAAAATTTCAGGGAAACTAGGTTTTAACCCTCTACAAGAACTGATTATACCTTTCATCTGTGGCACTTTATGAAAAAGTAGCAGGAGAAAAGAGTTCTGTTGTTTTAGTTTGCATGCCTGGATTCTAGGAGAGATAAATAAAATGGACCTTTGAGGTTTCTCGTTGCTACAGATATTTTACACTATTAAGACTCTAAAATGAACATCATAGACTTTTAGTTCTTATAAGTTGTAAATCTATTCCTATAATTTTCAGTTTTTCTCCCCCATCAACTTTCTTGTAGAATGGACACAGTTACCGGGCAGATGTTGTGGATCTCTTTCCAGGGACATTTGAGGTTGTGGAAATGGTAGCCAGCAACCCTGGGACATGGCTGATGCACTGCCATGTGACTGATCATGTTCATGCTGGCATGGAGACCATCTTTACTGTCTTGACTCATGAAGGTAAGACCCAAATCTCCCAAGTGTGTTATCTTCTAACCTTTTGTCTAGCCTGTAGAAAATAGGTGATAGTAAGGAACAGCTTGCCCTTCCCCTACTGACTCAGAAGAACCAGGTTTTATCACAGATCAGGGCCCTTGGTTAGATATTTACCAAAGCTGCATTTCCCATCCTCCCTTGCAAATGTAATAAGCTCACATGGGTGAGTTCGCCTAGATTGCAACTGGGAGCACTCTTTGCTAGTATGGATTTACTACCCATTGACAAAAAACTAATTAGTTAGTTTTCAAATTCATCATTGAAAGTCCAAGAGAAATACTATTTCAAGGAAATTACTAGTGAATCTTTCTTTGATGTGTTCATTGTCAAGGACAAATACATGGGGCTGGGAAGATGACAGAGTGGGCAACAATGTTTGCAAGCAAGCATGAGAACCCAAGTTTGCAGCCACTTAAAAGACCAAAGTATCTGTAACCCAAGTGTTACAGGAAGAAGACAGGAAGATCCTGGGAGCTCAGTGGCTAGTTAGCTAAGCCAAGCAGCAAGTTCTGGGATCAGTGCAAGACTATCAGTGAAACAAAGTTGGAAAGCAGTAGAACAAAACATTCAGTGCCCTCCTCTAGCCTTTGCATGCATGGTCATGAGCACACATACCTGAACAAATACATGTGAGCATATATAGATCACATTACACACACACACACACACACATACACACACACACACACACACACACACACACACACACACACACACACACACTGATCCACTCTCCCAGATCACAGTGATCCCTTTTCTAAAGAAAAGAAAAATAATTCTAGTGGATCCTCTAATCTTGGTTTTGTGAAGGTTTTTTCCATGGCATTCTTCAGAACTATCTCTGTGTAAGTTAAATGATAAATGTCTCACTCTTCTGCATGAACTGTGTCCAGCCACCAGCACTGTTTCCCTTCCAAGAAGCCTTCTTGGAAAAAAGCATATTTTTACTTTCTTTTTATTTTTGAGATTATTATTGCATTTTCCCCTTTCCTTTCCTCCCTCCAAACCCTTGCATATAGTCCTTCTTACTCCATTTCAAAGTCATGACCTCTTTTCCATTAATTATTATTGCATGCACAAATTTGTATTTATATATACACATATATTTTCCTAATTATAACCAGCTCGGTCCATATAATGGTACTTGCATGTGTGTTTTTAAATTTTTTTCATGTATCATACTGCTTTGGAAAATAATGGTATTAGAGTAGGTATTCTGAGATTGGCAGCCACTGACTCTATCAAAAGACATAGAGAGGGAAGATACTTTTGATTATTGAGACTACAGACCACAAGATACACTATCAAGGTACAATAGATTCAAGAAAATAGGCTCTCTTCTTACCTTACAATAAGTTATCCTTATATATGAGCCATCAAAAATATGAGACCATTTCAGTATGTATCATCAGAGTACCTCAGATTAACACTTGAGAAGATCCAGCCCACAACTCTTAATCTGTTTGCGATTTTTTTGTTTATTCAATATGAATTGCTTCCATTTTGCTCTGACTCTACATATATTAGCAGGGCAATCAGAAGAAAGAATTAAAGAAAGATAGAAATAAAAAGCCCAACTATTTTATTTATTAAGGTTTTATTTTATTATTTAAAACAATTTTTAATTTTAAATATATTTGACCATATTTTCCTCTTCCCTCGAGTCCTTCCAGATCTTCTCTCTCTCCCTACCCACCCAACTTTAAATTCTTGTTTTCACAAGTGAAAGCCCCATACAACACCTTCCCCAAAACAAGAAAACAATATAAAAGAACACCTAAACAGCAAAACAAACAAGAAAGAACCCATCAAACTGTAATCAAATAAAAGCAAGCACATCAGGACAGCCTCAAAGCTAGAGAGAAACCCTGTCTCGAAAAACCAACAAAATGCACATGTGTATGTTGATCAGCTACTCCTGAAAAAGAGGCCTGACCTAGACTGATTGATATACACAGGATCACTCCATTTAAGAAAATGTATTTTACCTCTCTCAGCAGAAGTGAGTGTTCAGTTGCTAGCATTTACCCTAGTGGCTATGTTTTCCATTTATTCCCTCGTTCATTTTTTTTAAATAGACACAAATAAATAAGATAAAGCAAAAACTGTCACAACAAAATCATATAAGACAAACCCACAAAAGGAAATGAACCCAAGAGAAGGCACAAGAACCAGAAACAGACTCATAAGTACCATCAGGAATCTGATAAAAACACTAAACTAGAAGCCGTAATATTTATGCAGAGGACATAGTGCAAACCCCATGCAGTCCCTGCACATGTTGCCTTAATCTTTGGGAGTTCATGTAAGCTTTTCTCATGCTGATTTAGATGGTCTTTTTCTCTTGATGTCCTCCATCCTCTCTGGTTTTTACACTCTTTCTGCCTCTTCTCTCTTAGTGTTCCCTGAGCTCTGAGCAGGAAGGGATTTGATGGAGATTTCCCACTTTGGGATGAGTGTTCCAAAGTCTCTCACACTCTGCATAATGTCTGGCTGTGGTTCTGTATATTTGTTCCCAAATGCTGTAGGAGGAAACTTCTCTGACAATGACTGAGTAGGCATTGTTTTATGAATATAGCAAAATATAATTAGGAATCATTTAATCACTATGCTTTTTTGTTGTTTTGTTTTCCTCTTTTAGACCAACATTATTTAGTTTTTCCCTAGGTCACAGGGCTATCTTGTCCTTGGTTCTTGGTCACCCAGGTAGTATTGGGTATGGGTTTCATCTCATAAAGTGGACCTTATGTCTAATCAGTTATTGGTTGGTTACTCTTACAAGTTTTGTGCCATCATCACCCTAGCACATCTCGCAGACAAGCCACCATTGTAGATTGAAGGATTTGTGACTGGATTGGCATTTATGTTGCTCTTTTGAGAGAACACAGAGTGCATTTCTGTACTAAAGAAGCTAGAACTTAAAAGGAAAGGCTCTATGCAGGCACCAGCTTAACTTCTCCATGTTCAGTAAATTGTGTAGGAGTTATCTTCAGCAACGGAGCCTTACTCTCAGTTTGTGGAGAGCAACCTATAGGCTTGGCAAAAGCCTGAGTTGTTTGAGCCTTCCCATTGGGCCACTTTGGCCAACAACTCAATTAGATAGGTGTATCCTAATCCTGGTACAGGAAGCTTTAATTGGTAACAAGAGATGTCTAGCTGGGACTCTTCCTCCCTTGTTATTTAGCTATTTCATTAAGATCATCTTCATATATGTACTTTAGGAAGTTTCTACTGTATAAGGCTTTCATACTACCCCTTAAATGTCACTTAATTTTAGCTGTTTCCCACAGTATTCCCTCCTACAACCCTGTATCCACTTGATCCTTCTGTTCCAGTCCCCCATCCTTGTCAATTTATAATTATCTGTTCTACTTCCCTTTCCTAATGAGGTCTATCTTTTTATTCCTACCCTCTGTGGGTCTGCAGATTGTGGCTTAGTTATTGACTTAACAGCTAATATCCACATATAAATGGATATCAACATGTTCGTCATGCTGGGTCTGGGTTACCTTACTCAGGATGATGTTTTTCTTGTTCCATTCATTTGCTTTCAAATTTCATGATATCATTTTTTGAAAAAGATGAGTAATACTCCATTGTGTGAATGTTCCACATTTTCTTTACCCATTATTCTGTTGAGAGACCTCTAGGTTGTTTCCAATTTCTAAAAAATCTATTTCTTTGATAAAGTTCCTGATGAAACTATGAGGTATATGAACGACATCTAAGATGAAAGATTAATACAATGCTGCAGGAAGATAATCCTTCTATTGTGATAAAAGAGAAGACAGAAAAAAAGAGTATGAGTGTGTAGGCTTAGAAAAAGGTCATGACAAGCAGATTTTCTGCCTCTTGTTCTCTTGATTCCTTTGGAGTGTAGCTTATAGTGTCATCTGCTGAGTGGGAACTACTTGAGGAAATTGAGAGAAGTGTTAATATAGTTACTTTGGGGTGGAGAATTAAGTCACTGTTATCTTATAGCATTGAGGGATTAGTTAGAATTAGACACAGAGAATCCAAGTACTTACATGTGTATGTTTTCTGATGGTATTCAGCATACTGGGTAAAATACAAGGCAGGAACAGTTACTGTGATTCCGTATGTCAGAGTTTGAAGTTATAGACCATGGATTCTAATCTATTCATTAGTGGAAGAGAAGACCATGGATAAATTGGTAGGTCAGGAATTCCTATGATTTAGGAATAAAATGTTTAATGATGGGAGAATAACAGGATTTTTGCTAACAAAATAATGAGCATTAAAATGAGAGATTTTTGTCAAGTTTGGAATTTCTGAGGTGCTGCAGACCTGGAGGAGCGATCCAATATGACCATGATTGACCATGAGTGGTAAAACTGGAGTGAACACACCATGTGACAAGAATGAAACAGTCTATTCCTGGGAGCAGAATTGAGAAAGACTATATTGATAACCAATGGCTTCCAGGGACAAAGAGAAATACTAGATAATGGTCAAAAGAAATGTTTAGTTTTTCTGCCTAGTCAATGTGAATATCAAAAGAAATCAATCTTTACTAGAATGGGAGAAACAGTATTTGAATAGCACATACCTCAGAAAATAGTTCAGCTTCACTGAAGAAAGAAAAGAAGAATTATTTTGAGACAGGATTGAATGTGTACAGAAATACACTTGACAGCAAGGGATGACTGAAGGGATAATGGGAAATGGTGGAAGAGAAATAGTATAATATTCAATGGGGATAGAGAAAGTGATAAGAAACACAGAAATAAAGGCATAGGGTAAGCTATATTTTGGTTTATAGGTCTATGCACTTGTCCTTGTTTCCTGTGAACACTCAAAATCAAATTAACATTTTAATATTGATTTTTACTGATGACATTTTGTATGTGACAATTTCTTGCATGTCTGTTAATGTATTCTGTTTACTCTCTCTACCTTAACTACCTCTTTCCCCAGACCAGTCAGTCCCTTTCTTTTTCATGACATTTTGGTTGGTTTTGTGACATTCAGTTTAGTCAGAGCCATCTGCTTGACCTTTGGGATTGGAACTATTTGTTGGAGCCTGGTGAGATAAATCATCAGTGTACTTAACTGAAGGCAATGGTCCTCACTCTCTCTTATCTATCTCTAGCAATGTCCAGCCATGAGGGGAAGAGTCCTCTGAGCCCCTCCTCCAACTGTGCTTGACTGTTGATAGTGCCATTCTTGTGCAGATCCACTACAGGCAGCCACACCTGCTTTGAGTTTGTGATTACAGGGGCTTTTTTTCCCCTCAGGAGATGATATTTTGCAGCGCTTCTCTGTGTCTTCTAATTCCTACATTCTTTTTTTAATACATAGTAGCTTGGATGAACTTTATTAATCTGAAGTTCTCACTTTTGAAAATGTAATAATAAACAATTTATGCTAGGTGTGGTGTTGTACATCTTTAATTTAATTACTCTGGAGGCAGAGGCAGGTGGGTAGATCTCTGAGTTCAAGACCAGCCTGGTCTATAATATAGCAAGTTCCAGGCTAACCAAGACTACGTGGTGAGACTTCTTAGTGACACTTCTTCCACAGTGTTCCTCAAAGCATACAGTGGATACTATGTGTTTTTTAGGCCTGAGCACCTGTGCAGCGATAGGCCTCTGCTTTCATCATTATTCACAGGAAACAGTTTTCTTTCATTAAAGTTGAGAGAGTACCATATGTTTAAAAGGATGAATGTAGCTTTTTAGAAGGTGGCTTGATTATATGTTAATTTGTCAAACAATGGTATTCCCTACCCCCTACCAGACACACAGTCTTATCATGGATTTTTGATTAGGTTTAAAGTGCTAGACATGGATGCCCTTGTTCTCCTAGAGCAGATATCAAATCCAATCAAAGAGACCTTAATAAAGTAGTAAATTCCAGAAAGAAGTTGCTTCAAGTATTGTAAATTTCCCATAGAAATCCTATAGGTTGATACAAAGAATAATAGGATCAACCTCTTGTCTTTTTTCACAGAACATTTAAGTACTATGACTACCATTACCAAAGAGATTGGAAAAGGTATGTATGATGATATATATGCACTGAGAAGTTACATGTGGTGTGTGTGTGAGTGTGTGTGTGTGTGTGTGAGATATGTGACACTTCTATCATAACTAAACTTGGGCATGTGTGTGTGTGTGTGTGTGTGTGTGTGTGTGTGTGTGTGTGTGTGATATGTGACACTTCTATCATGAATAAACTTGGGCACCATAATATAACACCTTAAGATTTTTGTAAAATGTCAGAAACCAATGAGCTAGAGTTTAGTTACCCTCAACATGTTTACTCACCTTGTGTCTTTCCCATAACTTTTAGAACTTGGGGAAACAGCCACATAGAAAGCTCTATTCTTAGCTCAAAAAATATTTATGAGGGAGAATAAAATTCCAAATCCTGCTATTTTATATCTGAATGAATGACAATATGAGACTGGAAAAATACCAAACATCCTTTAGGAACTACTTTTATTCTTTTCTCTTTTTATCTATAGAATAACAAAGAAGTGTAGCTTTAGGACTATTCATTTTTTCCCTTTGGGAAATAATGATTATTTTCCTATGATGCCTAGGTCAAAATTATTCTTTCATTCTTTGCTCCATTTTTGCCTTTTGACAGGAAAGATTCAGAAAGTTGTATGAAGTACAAGAACTATTAGACTCATGTGCTACCATGCCTGATATCTCCGCACTTGGAAAGTAGAACAGGAGAATCACAGGTTCCAGACAAACTTGACTTGAAGTGAGATCATGTCCCAAAAGATTAAAAACAACACAATAAAAGGGACACTAAGGAATATGAATTTACTCTGGAGATTTTCAGCTCTATTGAAAATCAGCTTCTCATTAGTAAAGTCCCTATGATCTACCTAAGTGTCCCGTGAATTATTAACCATGGACTAGGATGTATCCTGGATAGGTTAGAGAAAGTTAAGGTAAGGTTGAAAGGGCAATCCTCAGATCACATTTCCTTCCACTCAGGTAAATATATATATATATATATATATATATATATATATATATAGTGTAATATGTGCATATTTATACATGCATATATAAATATTGTGTATGTATTGTTAATAAACTCTCATTTGAGGAAAAACTGTCAATTTTTGGTCCAATAAAACTTACTAATTTTCTAAATTGGAAGTTTGTTCACAGTCACAAGAAGAATAAATGCCAGAATGTGATTCAGTTTCTATTTGAACTCATTACTTGGCATCTTCTTTCAGTTCTGTGAGAACATTCATTCATCCAATTATGCATTCATCAAACAAGTGTCAATTACCAGGGGCACAAAAACAAATAAGACATAATTGCTACTTTCCATTGCCTAAAAATGGAATGAGACACAGAAACAATAATTGTAATGCTAGACACTGTGCACAGAAAGGGTAAACAGCAATAGTATCGTATAATTATTGTATATTTGCTATTTACCAGGAGTCATGCTAAATATTCCATGCATATTATTAATGCTTTTAAATCTGATAATAATCCCTTTTGTTAGCCACAGTCATCATTATCTACATTTTACAAAAGGAGTAAACTAAGATTAATTAGAGATGCAGTCACTTAGCCCTAGGTCACAGATTAGATAAACCATAGGTTCAGAAAGAATTCATGCAATTTGGAACTCTAGAGGAACGTACCATTAATTGTCTAAATGAATAGCAGATATGTGACACTTAACATGGAGCTACAAAGGAGAGGAAAAGGAGGAAAGTATTCAGGCAAAGTAAGAAGTATGAACAAAGACAGAACCCATGCTATACTTTATGGGAAATAAAGATTGAATTTCTGTGGTTGAATAATAGCAGATAAGACTAAAAAGGTAGTTTAGAGCCTGACTGAGAAGGTTGAAATGTGTGACTTAAAATACTGAACTCTGCCCTGAAAATCAGCTGAAGACAGTGGAATGTTTATATGACAGCAACTGTCACAAACATCAGAAAAGATCTACCTGAAAGTACTATTAACATGCTCCACAAAGGTGGGAGTACAGACAGCTTGGTGGCAAGCTGACACAGGCTAGTGGCTAGAATGAACATTGATAAATTGTATTGACTCAATGGTTCTTCATGAAGTTTCACATATTTCTCCTAGTTCTACCCTATGAGTTCAGGCTGACCAAGTCTAATTATTGTTTTTTCTATAGCATAAGGTTTTAAGTATTCTCCAGTGACTCTTAGGTCTTCCCATGGGCAAACAGAATAGGTACATCACTGATTGTCAAGGGGAGCTTCCAGCTGTGATTTTATAATTATGTGATTATATATTTGAAATTGATCTTCGTCAGCTGATTTGAAAAATGGGGACAGGTTGTCTGTCCTATTTTCATGGACTTATTTTTCTAGGAGACGTCTACAAAAGGTAACATTATATATGAGTGTCCTTTTTCTCTTCCTCCATTTCAGCAGTGGTCCTAAGAGAAATTGGAGAAGGCAATGTGAAGATGCTGGGCATGACAATCCCCATAAAGGATGCTGAAATTCTGTCTTCTGTTTTGATTGCCATATGTATAATTCTGCTTCTTGTTGCTCTGGCTCTTGGTGGTATAGTCTGGTACCAGCATCGACAAAGAAAGCTTCGGCGCAACAGGAGGTCCATTCTTGATGATAGCTTCAAGCTTCTGTCTCTGAAGCAGTAATAGCGGAAACCAGAAGATATCTTCAGAAAACACATCTGGAATGTATACCATGCTCCCAGGAAGCCATGTACTAGCAGCAAACTCTTTTGTCAAGGGGTACGGGTAGTGGAGAGGCAGAGGATGAAATCAAAATTATCTGGCTATTTCTTTATTTATTTACATGGAAATCACAGGCTCTCACTTTTTCTTTATTTCCTTGCAACCCGAGGCAGTTAGGATTGGGCAAATTCTTTTGTATACAGATTTCAGCAGCTAGGATATGTCACCCTTCAGTACTGGAAGGTACGGAAATCCTTAGATCATAATTGTTCTCACAGAATATACACCAAGAAAAAGGTATCTAATTCGGTTTTTATTTATTGCCCTCGTAATTGAGGGCAAATGATGAGCCACAAAGATAATCCCTAACTAAATAAAGGACCAAAAATATAGGCATGATAGAAAATGAGAGATAGGGTGGGCAGTGGGAATCCAAATTACACTTTAATTATATTTGGCAATATTTGGCAATGGACTATTTTACGAGAAGTAAATGAAAGGGTTGTGGTTGTTGTGAGCATCTACAACCTCTGGAACCAGAAACACCTGTAAAACAGTCCTTCAGGTTTCTACACAGTGGTACTAAAGGGAATTTTGCATGTTCTCTTCATGTTTGAAGTAGTAAATCTTGTCCGTTAAAGTACTTATTAAAAGATTGGAATATTGAATTTGGTGATTTTGGTGATTCCCATGGCAATTGGGAGGTGGAATTACGTTTGAAATGAAAGAATTTCAGTAATCTGGGGAGGCAAATTATAGATCTACACACCCTTTGTGGATCCTAGAGATTTGTGTGCTTTCTCAAAGTAAGCCTCCTTGTCAGAGTGGTAACATCTTAGAGAAGTTCTATGAGTACTAACCATTTTTGGAATACCAAGAAAAGTGGCCAGAGAAGGTACCTGTCCCCTGGGAAAAAAGAGGTAGATGTATGCATGGTGATTTGGTAGATGGGGGAATAAGAGGCATATTAGCAATTTGTAAACCTCTTTATAGAACAGAGTCATTCCTTCCTGTACCTTACAGCAATATCCCATTTTTGCCAGCCTTTTCAGTCCTCTCTGAAACTTTCATCCAGAAAACACACACAAGAAAATAGGAATGAGCTAAGACAGACTACAGTTTCCACATGGTAAATGGAGAACAGACGGGGCAACATGGAGAGTAATGATCATAGCAGTGGGATGGGGATATAGCTGAGTGGTAAAGTGATTGCCTAATAAAAGAGAGTCCCTGGGTTGGAAAAAAAGAGCACACAGAAAACAAGGTAATAACAAGGGTGCATAGAGATATTCTTACACATAGCAAATAATTCCAATTACTGATTGGACTGGACTCCCTAGATTCATTAAAGTGGAGATTAAATTATTTTACTTAGGGTGTCTCAGCTGCAAATTAAGTGGAGACTCAAATTTTCATCTCTTTGATTCCAAAAAGGTTCTATTTTCCCTTTGTTATGGAAACTTCTACTGTGCTTTGTCTTTCTTACCCACTTGATTTCAAATTGTGAGGTTGCCTAGCAACTTGTTTACTTAGTTAGCAACCCACAGAGTTGGTTTCCAGTTGCCATAAAATGTTACAGGTCAGAGGCCAGAAAAGCTAACAAATGCTAAAATAATGCATTTTGTTCATCCATGGTCAGTGGCTTTCCGGATAATTTCTGAAAATCTAGGGAACATAGATGTAGATGTGGAGGAACATATTAATTACCCATTATCCTGTTATAGAAATAATGTGCCTTCTTAGTGAGAAATCACTCTACACACTTAGAGATAAAATAAAGGCTCTTAACCAAAGTGCAAATAAGAGTCAGAAATGAATGGAAGATTTTACTAACTTACATATACCTTAGGCGTATGCATCCCACAAACACTGTCATCCTAACATCTTGTTCTGCCCTTGCCCAAGATTAGACTTTGAACAATTTAAACAGGACACTGTAAGTCTGGCCACTTAGGCAGGTAGGAGATTTACAAAGCACAGGTATTGCCATAATTGTTTTTAAGTATACCAGTGTTAGTCCTTTTTGAATAGCTGTTCCTCAGGGTCATCCTTTCTTCGTGGCAGAATTGTAACAGAGCAAGATGGTACTGAGGTTCTTCCATCTTATATCTTTGGGGAAGCTGTTCTAGGTTTGATTAGAATTTGATCTCTGTGATGGAAAGCTCTGTGGAAAATTACCCAAATCTGTTCTAGAGACCTGAAGTCAAGATGCTCCAGCTATTTTATCTTGGTTTCTCTTCATCTGCCTACTTGTGTAAACCGCCCCCTCCAACTAATTGATTATCTTAGTTTCTGTTATACTGCTTGCTTGTGTGAAACCTCTCGCTGCAGCTGCTGAACAAGATAGCAGGATATGGTTTTGCCTTTAAAAACCCCTCACTCTAAATTTGCAGTGCTATACGTGAGTCCCAAATACCTGAGTGTAGTCCCAGCTGGCTGGAATAAAGACTTTCAATTGGATATAAACTATGTCTGAGTAGTCTTCTGTGGTGGACTCCCTGTAACAGACTTTGTTTTTCCTGATAGGAACATAGAATACTTAGTAGCAGACCAGAGCTTAGTTATGGCTATGACCCTATGCTGCTCCAACTCCAGCTGCCCCGTAAAAATATGTCCTTGGTATAGTAATCAGGGCCCACTGATTGGTCAGTCCTGGTGAATAAATACTCACATATGAGCATCATTAATTTTACTTATCTGTAACAGGCCCGGTGAGCATGTGTTGGGGGAAGTCCTGTGCATTTGTCAATAAAGTACTGTTGAGCCTATAGGGAACCAAGATAGGAGGGACTAGGAGTCCAGGAGAACTCTGGGAAGGAGAAACACAAGAGAGTCAACATGTAACGCCATGGGGGTAGGAAGCCTGGAACTATTCTCCGGTAAGAAACATACTTAGATTAACAATTATGGGGTAATTACTTAAGTCAGAGCTAGCCAGTTAGAAACAAGCAAGGCCAACAGCTTCATAATTAATACAGCGTCTTGTGTGTTTATTTGGGGACTACAAAGCGGCAGAGCCCAGGCAACTGGCGGGAGATAAACCAAAGCGGCTAGCAAAGAAAAAGCTTCTCTTAACAAGCATGCTACTTACCTTTGATATATTTTATAGGTAGTGCTCCTTAGGCTAAGTTTCAACTTGTGTGACTGAAAAGACCTCGGCATCAAAGCGCCGGGCACCGAACCGAACCCTCTGCCCAAGAACCGGGGCCAGACCACTGGATGCAAATGCAAGAGGTGATTTATTGAGTACAAAGGCGCCTGCCGACGCTACTGCAACACAGGTGCAGAGCATACCGGGCTTGCAGGGAGCACAATATTTATAGAGTTTTAATGGTTACGTAAGTATCAGCATAGCAACAGGCATTTCATTGGCTCATCTTGGGGGCGGGGTAGTTCCCACAGACTAAGTTTCCTGGTCTTCCTCATGAAAGACCCCGGCATGCTTCAGCAATTATTATCCGGGTCCCATGACTGCTCTGGTGACCACAGAACCTGTTTGACATCCTGTTTGAAGCACCAGCTGGGCTAGGCACCTGGTCTGGGTTTTTTCATTAGGCAACGGCCTGGCCTTGTTTTTCTTTTCCTAGGGGGCCCTGGGTAGGGGTCTTTCATGACTTAATCTCTCCTAAGCAAATCTATTAGTAAATCTGTATAAAGTCAGTTTTTATCACTTTGAGTTTCTTTTACAACAGTTTCCCACAATTCAAGTGTTAGATTTAGCAGCAGCAGAGAACCTACCTTTGACCTGTTGTTTATAAGGAGATTATTGAAAATTGAGTCTATTCTGAGGAACCCATTCAATTAATGTTGATAAGTTACATATAACTGTGAAGTCCTTAGTGTGTTTATGTGAGACTGGGAGATATAGGTATAGCATGACTTTTTTTTTTTTTTTGGTTTTTTGAGACAGGATTTCTCTGTATTATTTTGGAGGCTGTCCTGGAACTCACTCTGTGGACCAGCCCAGCCTCAAACTCACAGAGATCCGCCTGCCTCTGCGTCCTGAGTGCTGGAATTAAAGGCATATGCCACCACCGCCCAGATGGCATGACATTTTTTAAAAGACTTATTTTTTAAAAATTATTTTCTAATTATGAGTATGTTGGGGGTGGTGGTGCAAGGTCAGAGACATCAGATCCTGATACCCCTCTCCACCCACCAGCTGGAATTAAATGGTTGCAAGACATTGAATGTAGGCTTGGGAATCAAACCCAGGTCCTCTACATGAGCAATGAACCATTTCTGTAAGCAAACATAATGCATTTTAGAAAAGGATGTATTTTTTTACTGAGGTTCTTCCAAGTATGGATATAAGGTATGCAAAAAGTAGTTAAGTAGTACTCTCGTCTTGTTCATTTCTCATGCTACCTGCTCCCAACATCAACACCATAGTGTTGTCTTGTTTGCTTTCTCCCCAAGACATCATTAAAATATTTTATGTTTCAACTATTTTGTTTTGTTTATTACTATTGTGGAACAAATATTAAAGCATGTATATGGAGGTAAGAAAATAACTTGCAAAAATGGGTTTTCTCCCCCAATGTAAGTTCTGAAGATTGAACTCATTATCAGGCTTGTATGATAAATACCTTTACTCAGTGAGCCATCTTGCTGGACCAAAAATATCTTCATTTTCTTATATCTTTGTTGGTTCCCACTTATTTAAAAGCTTAATCATTTGTTAGGTTAGGCATGGTTGTTTATGTGTATAATACCAGCACTGAGACATAAGGGCCATGAGGTCAAGGTCAGCCTAGAATGCATATTGAGTTCCAGACCAGCATAGGCAACTGAATGAAACAGTTTCTCAAAACAAAGACGGCAAAAAATCGCAACCATTTACTTCCTGGACTATTGTATTCTTTTCCTGCTGTTTTTCTCAGATTCTCTCTAGACTTACAATTGATTTTCCAGACACAAAAGTGAGGTTTCAAAAATATAATTAAGCCTCTAGTTTGAACAACATATTGTACATTTAGATCTCCCTGAAGATAACTAGACCCTGGAGATAATTAAAGAGGCAACAACAGAAGAAGAAAGAGAAAATCAGTAAATAGGGACAGCAGGACTGAAAATATAATGTGTTAGTTTTGTATCATATGACTCTCTACCCAGAGCAGCAAAGTCATATCATACTTACACTAAAAAAACACAAGGTACAGCATTGTGATGGTTTGAATGAATATGACCCCCATAGAATTATTTTTGAATACCCACAGGGTGTGGCGATATTAGAAGGTGTGGCTTTGTTAGAGGAAGTGTGTCAGTCAGTATAGAGGTGGACTTTGTGGTCTTATATGCAAGCTATGTCCACAGTGACACACAGCTGATTCTGCTGCCTGCAGATCAAGATGTAAAACGCTCAGCTCTTTTTCTAGCACCACATCTACCTGGACATTGCCATGTTTCCAGGCATGATGATAATGAACTAAATCTCTGAAACTGTAATCCAGTCCAATTAAATGTCTTCGTTTATAGGTGTTGTCATGGTCATGAAGTCTCTTCACAGCAGTAGAAATCCTAGCTAAGACAAACATAATCATGGAAATAGCCAAAAAGTAACAGCAACTTTAGTGACAGTGGGTATCTTTTAGAAACCCTGGAAGCTGGAAGCAAGTGGCATCATATTTTCCTAATGAAGAAAGAAAAAGATTACCAAAACCAACTATTGTGGTACATGCCTATAATTTTAATGCTTGGAATGCAGAGTAGAGAAGACTAAAGTCCATAGTCAGCTTAGACTTCATTGAAAGTTTGAAGCTACCATGAGCTACATACAGAGAAGCTGACTCACCCTGTTAAAAATTCTGTATCTAGTGGAGAGTCTGCATTTTCTGTAATTGTGAATAAATACAATTTTGTGTCATATGTACTATGTGATCTATTTTCTTTGTTGTATAAAATGGCATTTGATTTTAAAAATAATATATGAGTTGTATTCTATTGTATTAAATAATGTGATTATTTTTCAGTTCACTTGTTGTGGGTATTTGAGTTATACTTATCACAAAAATTTGTATTCAACATTCATGTACAAAATAGATGATATCCTGGAGCATATAATAAACATTATTAAGAAAGACAAAATCTTACAGTTTGTGTTTTTTTAACCACAGTGGACCCAAACTAGAAAACAGTAACTGAAAAAAAATAAGACAATCACAATTAACACTTAAAAACTTTAAAATATAATTTAAAATATTTCATGGATAAAACAAAAGTCTCCCTGGCCCCTGGAGTGTGATTTACATCATGACTTTAAGTTGAAGTCTTTGGACATAAGAGACTTAATAGCAGACCAGAATTTAGTAGCAGTTGTGGCCCTATGGTACACTCCATGAACTGCCCATTACAGGTATGTCCTTTCAGATGGGAATCAGGGCTTAATGGCTGGCTGTTAGTAAGGACCCTCTTCTTTGTCATGGGAATGGGGCCTAATGGTTAGTCAGTCCTGGTGAACATACATTTCCATTATAGAATGCTCAATTTTCCTTATTTCTAACAGGCCTGCCTATGGCTCCTAAATAAATCTATCGGCAGTTCCTTTATATTACCAATTCTATCACTTCTCCATCATTATCATTATAGGTCATAAGACTGTTAGAATGATAATAACAAATGAGTGCCAATGATCATAATGTTACTGACCTATATCAGTATATAAATTCCTTTAATGATACAATCTAGCAAATTCACACAAAAAGAAATGGACAATTTGAATAATCCTATATGTACTTAAAATGAAAGAACAATTATTAATGCTCCAAACAGAAAGCAATGGCTGCAGATGGGTGCCCTGGTGAATTCCAGCAAACATTTAAGAAAGCAGTGTGTCAGTTCATTTACAGTCTCTTCCAATAGAGAAACTGCTTCTCAGTTTATTCTAAGTCAACAGAATTACTCAGGAGAAACTTGAGGTGAAAAAATGGTACAATAAAGGATTTACTAAAAATGCTAATTAGGAAATATTTACTTACACAAAGTACAATTGGGCTGTATTCTAGGTATACAGGACTGCCTCAACATCAATTAATGTAATTTAGTCCATCAGTGGCCTAAGAAAAAACAATCATATGACAATGTCAATAGGTGCAGAAGAGTTATGTGTAACATTTATACACCTATTCATATAAATATAAACAAACCAGAAATAAAGGACAGCTTTCTTCATTAAATAAAGAACATCTACAAAGTCATACAGCTAATAAAACAGTGACGAGAAGCTACAAGTTTTTCCAGCAAGAGCAGGAATAAAGGAATGTGTATCTCCCCTGACTACTCCCTTTTACCTGATACTGGTCTTCCTAGGCAATGGAATAAAACAGAAAAGGAAAAATACACAGATCAGGAAAGAAGAAGAAAAACTGTTTTTCACTATTTGCATGGTTATCTAAAAACTCTGGAAATACAGAAACAAAACTTTAAAAGAGGGAGAGATTCCCTTCCAAAGTCTGAGGAAGATGAGTTCTTGTTACAGTGAGGATCACTTCTGTGCCTCTGCTCTTCCAACCTTATTCAGCCTTAAATGCAAGAATGTATTTATGTGCTTCTTTTTCTGCCTTCTTGATATACACACAACTTACTAAGCTTTTCTACCTGTTGTGACTAGTCTTAGAAATATGTCCATACAGGAGAAACCCAAAAGTCCCCCATGTCTTCTTTCTGTCGCAGAGTTAACCTAGGGACAAGACACGTCTCTCTTTCACTGGGCAGAAGTCAAATCATACAGGCTTGTCATTCATAAAAAATGTATGGATGTTATGACACATGATCAAGAAGCAGGGCTTTTAGGATATGGCTCCTAAACATATGGGAAAAGTCTTCCTTGAAGAGTTATGTGTAATATTTCTAGTCTTGTGGAGGAATTAAATAACTTAGAGTCACTGTGAAGTTCAACTGGCTCTTGCCTTTGTACTCCATATCCAATAGATGACAATACAGTTCTTTACCAGGAGAATCTCCACCAAGGCAAGAATTAAGCACTGAGTCATGGGCTATCCAAGTGAGTTTATTTTGTTGTTCTTGAGGCAGTGCTTATTTACTGCTCAAATTGGAAATATTTCAGTATTTCATTGGCAAAGATATGCTTGTTGATTTACAGTCTTGGTGGCTTTCCATTCTCTACCCTCACACATGCTACTTCTTTCAATATTCCTTTAGGAAACATTCAAACTCCACCACCACCTCAAAGTAAACAAAGTACACACAGACTTGGATAAAGACCTCAGATATTCCAGGGGCCTGGGAGATCTAAAGTTTACCTATCGTTGGGAAAAGTCAGTATTAACCCTATTGTGTTGGTAGATTGTTGATTGATTAAGACTGAACTTCAGAAGCACATGACTTTAAATTTCACCTTGGTGACTGTGGGAAAACATTTTCGGTATTTCACTGATTGTACTAATACCTTTATCCTCTTAAGCTGATGTTTATCTATTATTTCTTAGTTCCAATAAAGAATAATTGGGCATCATGTGCCTGACCGAGAAGCAGCAATCTTTCTGTGCATTAAATCTTTTGTACTAGAGTTTCATGGATGCTGGGTGTTCTAGTTCAAAGGCAGGGGATATGCAAATGGATGAGGTCCAATTGTAGCCTTTAATGCTGCATAAAAACCCTTTGCTTAGAAACAAAGGCAGCAAAGAGGAATGTTAACATCAGGAATAGGGCTCTCCAGAGTATTCAGATCTAAATGAAGGGTCAAGTACAGATGATTAAGGAAGTAAAGAGCTGCATGCTTTTAATCACTGCCTAAGGAATGAACCTTTGGCTTATTTTTCCCATACTGTATATTTGAATGTTCACAAGTTGTTTATACACTAAGTGCTGGCAGAATTACATAGTTTAACTTTGAAATAGTTCAGGTCTTAATTGGTTGCTAGGAAAAACCTCTTCAAGATAAGTAGAAAATATTTTTTTTTCTGCCTCTAAATTTGTAAAAGAAAGAGTTGTTAATTCTGGGTCAGAAAAATGGTCCTTGCAAATGTTGTACGTAAAAATGTCAACTTCAGAGGTTATTGATGCTACACTTTGTGAAACTATATCCAATCTCTAAGTAAGTCCTTGGAGCTCTGAGTAACTGCCTGAGCAATTTGTTCAGGTTCATGATACTGAAGCATATTTCACGAAAAGAATTTACAAGCCCTCCTTGAATTTTATATGAATAGAGAATGAGAGACTAAGTATTTTCTTTTAAATTAATGTAAAAAGAAACGACAAAACTAGGATTCCTATGCTTTGACAAAAAGAACTTTAACATATTTCTGAAGTTTTCTATTTGCTATTGAAATAAACACTGTCTCTCAAGTAGTTAAAAAAGAATAATTGACTGTCTACTCATTCCTATTGCAGAGACAGTAGCATCTAATTGTGCAGTAACAGATTTCTCCCTAAGACATGATGGTGAAGATTAGAGTGAACATATTTGGCCATATTGGGTGCCTGGTTACCAGGGCTTCCTTCAAATCTGGCAAAGTGGATATTGTTGCAGTCATTGACCCTTTACTTGACCTCAACCACATGGACTACCTGTTCCCAGTATGACTCTACCAATGACCTGTTCAATGGCACCATCAAGGCTGAGAAAGGGAAACTTGTAATTAACGGGAAGGCCATCACTATCTTCCAGAAGCGAGATCCTGCCAACACCAAATGTGGTGATGCTGATGCTAAGTATGTTGTGGAGTCTACTGATGTCTTCATCAACACAGAGAGGGTCAGGTCGACTTGAAGGTCGGGGCCAAAAGGGTCATCATTTCTGCCCAGAGCTGATGCCCACATATTTGTTATTGGTGTGAACCATGAGAAGTATGACAACTCACTCAAGGTTGTCAGTGATGTTTTCTGTACCACCAACTGCTTAGCCCCCTGCCAAGGTCATCCATGACAACTTTGGCATTGTGGAAGGACAAATGACCACTGTTCATACCATCACTGCTACCCACAAGATTGTGGATGGCCCCTTTGGGAAGCTGCAGTGTGATGGCTGTGGGGCTGCTCAGAATATCATCCCTGCATCTACTGGAGCTGCCAAGTCTGTGAGCAAGGTCTTACCAGAGCTGAATGGGCATCTCACTGGGATAGCCTTCCATGTTCTTACCCCCAATGTGTCTATCATGGATATGATATGTTGTCTGGAGAAATCGGCTAAGTATGATAGCATCAAGAAGGTGGTGAATCAGGCATTCAAGGGCCCACTGAAGGGCATCCTGAGATACACTGAGGACCAGGTTGTCTCCTGTGAATTTAACAGTGATAGTCACCCTTATGCTATTAATGCTAGGGCTGGCATTGCCCTTAATAACAACTTTGTAAAGTTCATTTCTTGTATGACAATGAGTATAGCTACAGCAACATGTTGGTAGACCCCATGGTGTATATGCCCTCCAAGGAGTAAGAAGCACTGGGCCACTCACCCCATCAAGAATATGGTAGCAAGAGAGAGGCCCTAGGCTGCTGAGGAGTCCTTATCCAACTCAGCCCCCAACACTGAGCATCATTTAAGGGGATTGACTGCAAATTGTTCTTGGTCATGTTAAGAAAATAAACTAAGCAAAGGAAATTAAATTCAGGAATCTTTTTCTGAACATAAATAGAGGGTTTTATTAGTGATAGAGTAAGAGGGTAGATTATTGAATCTAATTTAAACTATTAATCTCAAATATTTTACATTGGTATGGATTTTTTATTTTGATGCTAAATTAAGGTTATTTTGTTACAACATACTGTATATATGCTTCTACTCTTGTTAAAGTGATTTTTGTACATTAATACATATTTCAGGTTTTTTGTTATAACATACTATATATATGTTTCTACTCTTATTTAAAGTATGCAGCCAAAAGGATAACCCACACATGGCAAAAACATGTTTTTCCATAGAAGTATATAAATAACAACAGATGAAGTAAATTCACTCCTATCTCCTGCCTCTGGGAGCGGCACAAAATCACATTCCAAGAACAATTCTGTGTTATGAAGAAACTAAGGTCACAAGACGCTTGTCATGTTTTCTTGAAGTTTTCTCACAAGCACTCAGAATTCTCATACAACTCTAGTCTTGGAATATGTTCTGACATGGTAGCAGCATATATTCTTTTTAATGGCCCAAATCCAAAGCTCCAAGATTACCAAGGGCTATAACGAAAAATAGAAGTAGAAATACCCACTGCAAAATGGAATAGCCACTTGACACTTACATCATTTCTTAAAGAAATAGGTGCACACTCTCTATATGATCCACCAACTGTGCTTCTTGGTATTTATCTAAATAAGTCAATAATTCTTATCTCTATTAAAACATACACCTATATTTACTATATCTTTATTCATAATTGGTAAAATTTTGGAATAAAAAATGTTTTTCCCAGAGGGTGAATATGTACTTGAAACACTGTTCAGAAATGGAATATTATGCCGGGTGTTGGTGGTGCACGCCTTTAATCCCAGCACTCAGGAGGCAGAGGCAGGTGGCTCTCTGTGAGTTCGAGGCCAGCCTGGTCTACAAAGCAAGTTCCAGGATAGCCTCCAAGACAATACAGAGAAACTCTGTCTCAAAAAACAAACAAAAAAAGAAATGGAATATTATTCAATATTAGCAGAAATAATTTTAGCCATAAAAAGTGAAAAAATCTTAAATACATATTGATAAGTGACAGAAATCTATCTGAAAATGCTATTTATCATTATATTTATTCCAATAAAAGTTAAAACTATAGAGCTGATGAAAATGTCAGTGCTTACTAAGGATTGTTGGGGAAGAAGAGAAATAGGAGCAGTACAGAGGGGACTGTTAAATTATTAAAACTATTCTGCAAAATGCTGTAACTGTAGGTACATGCCAAATGTGGAGAGTTACAGATGGAAGAAGTTCAATGATGCTCCATAATAATACTATGGACTTCAAGTAAAGATTATTATGGATGGAGGCTCAATAACTATACCATTGAAAACCATGTAATATTGATAGTAGAGGAGACTTTGCATATGTGAGAATGGGAGAACATGAACACTATCTTTACTTTGTGCTGAATTTTGTTGTGAACCTAGCACTTTGCTAAAAGATCAGTTTTACAGAAAGAAATGACGTTCTTAGGTGACTTCAGGAAGAGATACCTGCTTGTGATTTGAAGAGGTAAATAAACAAAGAGAAATTCACATTCTCACTTTCTTTCCCTTTGTTCTGGAAGATGGGAAGTATTTTTGGTCATGCTGTAAGCCTGAAGCAGTCATTTAGTCATAGTTCTTGTTGAGGTCCTCAGGAAACACAAGACCATCACATCTCCATGGGTGCAATTATTTCTAACCAGAGAGGAGTTGGATGAATGCTAGAAAGGTTGAGACACTAGATGGGAACACTGAGTGGAAGTTACTGTAAGCAGAGAGGAAACAACGAACGACGCTGGTAATCTCAGAGCATTTGTGCCAGGAACTTTACCCAAATAGTGGTCAAGTGTTTGTGTCCTGAGCATGGACACTTGTGGTTTAGCTGATGAAATGTGTTTAGCTGATAAAATTTGCACCCTATGATAGCACTTGAATGTTGAAAATACTTCAACTGAAAGCATACAGCTATTTTAAAAATACTGTCAATTAAACAACACCAGATACATAAGTATCTCACTATAAAACATAAAAAAGCAAGACAATATGACTCCTGTGGAAAATATCCATTTCAAAATAACGGATTCCAACTGGAATTAATTGAATGATGTTCCAAAGATTTCAATGTAATAATTATAAGAATATTGTATGAAGTGAAAGTGATTGCAAGTAAACTTTAAAGTGAATGCAAATAGCATGCAGATAAACAGCTGAATGAATCTTCACTATAAGATATGAAATTAGAATCCAGTAAAGAGACATACTGAAAAACTGTAATTCTATAAATAAAAAAGTTCAGAAGTCAAGCAAAAAAAATATCTCAGTAAAATGTATCACCAATGGAATTGATTATCAAGTGAAAGAAAGAATAACAGGGATGGAATACAAGGTAGATTAAATCAGAACTTTGGGACATAGAAAAATGGAAAATAATTAAAAAATATGAACATAACATTAAAGATCTGTAAGACAGCCGGGCGTTGGTGGCGCACGCCTTTAATCCCAGCACTCGGGAGGCAGAGGCAGGCGGATCTCTGTGAGTTCGAGACCAGGCTGGACTACCAAGCGAGTTCCAGGACAGCCTCCAAAGCCACAGAGAAACCCTGTCTGGAAAAAACCAAAAAAAAAAAAAAAGATCTGTAAGACATCAAGAAAAGACAAAATTTACAGGCAATGGTGATAGAAGAAGAATTTCAGGCTAAGATCATATATAACAAACTCAATAAAATAATAGCATGAGACTAATCAAATTTATTATAAGGAAAGAGATGATCATCCATACTTAAGAAGTATTTTTTACTTTAATTCCAGTACTTGGGAGGCAGAAACAGGCAGATATCTGTGAGTTCAAGGCCAGGGTATTTTACATAGTAAGTTCCAAGATAGCTGAGATACATAGTGAGATCCTATCTCAATAAATAAATAAATATAAGGAAAACTAAAAAGAAGCATTTATACCACCAAACAGACAACACCAGAAAAAAATTTCCACGTGCTATATATTATAGTCAAATACTAAACATAAATTAATATATTGAAAGCTGCAAAGGACAAGTACCAAGTCACATTTACAGGCAAACTCATCAAAATTAGAACTGATTCTCAAGAAAATCTAACAGTCAGGAAAGGTTGGAATGATGTTCACCAACCCCACTGAACAACAACAATTGCTAACCCAGAAAACTATATTTAGGCAAAACTATCTGTTCTGAGGGAGAAAGAAAATTCTTTATGATATAAACAGACTAAAGGAATTCATGATATTCATGATCACTAAGACAGCACTACAGAAGCCACTTGAAAGAAAAATAAACACAGCCATATGGCTAGGGTAAAGAAGAAACCATGTTAGTTAATCAAATGAAGAATAGTAAAACACCAAACACTACAAAATCAACAAAACAATGAGAATTATGACATACCGCTCAATGACAACTTTGAATATTGGTGGACTGAACTCCCAGTGAAACAACACAGATTTGACTGGGGAGACAGCTCATCTGTTATATTACTTCCTGCATAAACAACCACAAATGTAGATCCTCAGGAACCACATAAATACTAGATTGGCATGACAGCCCATCTGTTTAGCCAGTTTCACAAGGTAGAAACCGAGGACTCCTAGAGCAAGCTGACTAGAAAGACTTGCCATATCAGCAAGCTCTGAGTTTTCTGAGAGATCTAACTACAAAATAAACAGGGTGAAATATTACCTATATCAACCTTCTACACCCACCCATGCACACACATATACCACATACACATGAAAATAAGACAAAAAGACACAGACTGGAGTTTTAAAGAGGATGAATCTATTTCTTGCCTCTAAGAATCATGCCTCACCATTAAGTATAAATATAATATGGTAAAAGAATGGGAAAAGCTATTCCAAACAAATGAACCCTGAAAGCTATTAAGGATCATCCTCTAATATGTAAAAAAATACCTTGATCTCAGACAAAAAATAATTGTGAGTGATAAACAAGATTACTTGATATTGTTAGGTTGTAGGGCTTGAGACAGCTGCTGAGTTCATTCATCCTTCAAAAATTCCAGGCTCTAGAGTAAATGTTTAAATTAAAGAATTTCAGACCTGAGGTAGAAGAAAAACTGTCGCGACTGCCGCGCAGCCTGTGTCCAAGAACGTGCGGAGGGTGTCGGGGATTGACAACACAGAGACTCATTCAACGATATAAAGAAAACTTTAAGCAGGCCCCAAAAAGGCTCAAGAAAACTTCCTAAGAAAGGCTCCCACCAGAGAAGCTTCTGCTCTCTCCTCTCCCCTGGCTGGTTCTGCCTGACACCAGAAACTGATCTGGGCGTGTCAGAAGAGGCAGTTAGTCTTTGGACAAGGTCGAGGTCAGGGTGGTTTCCGTGGGCAGGCCTTTTCCAGGAACTTATTGCCCTGGGCATTGTATTGTTTTTAGTAAACATGTTTTTAGTAAACATTGTCTTACAGCTGCCTACTCCCAGGCCGAAGGGGAAGTGGGTCTCTGCTCAAGGTCTGGTGTTCCCACAAAAAACTATGTACTTTCAAGGTTTCTTGGAGAAAGAGATGTTTCACTACAAGGAAACAGGCTTAGTTAATATGTGATCTGTACTAGGTGACCAAGGTAGGGAATGAGGGCACATATGACTTATGCAATGTGACAGAGAAGTGAAACCTCATTATTGTGAAACCCATAGGGTAATAGCTTAGTGTGCTGCCACATGCTCACAGGGATAGGGGCCTGAGAATGCTGCTGCCTTGATCTAAGCCACC